TTCCTGGCCTAGACCATTGTCAGTAGACCAGAGCAAGTGGACAGGCTGAGCTCACTGTGGTGTGCACTCTGATAACACCAGTGTGGTAGTCATGTGGATTGTATGATAACCACAGGCAGTTTTGAGGCTTGGTCTCCAGAGTTCTATAACCCTGTTTGAGCCTGTGGTGTTCCTACAAGATCACCTGTGTGCGCCTGCCTCTCTACCCTATCCCTTGGCCTGGGGAAAGGAGCCACCAGGGCTTAGCCAACTGTTTCCTGACCAGGGCTGGCATTCTGTTCCCTTGATCCCTTTCTATAGCTTTGATCAAGAAAGATACATGCTGCTGGTTTGTGCTGAGGGTAGTCGTCCCTTCCAACTTGAGTCCTGCTGTCTGTGGCCTTAAGTGGTGGGACAGAGGGGCAGGGGACAGTGGTGGTCTGGTGGGGAGGGTCAGGATCCTGTTCATACGGATCAGGAAGCTGGTGTTCTCAGGAGGCTGGACTGCTGCAGTGTGCTCTCACGCTGTAACAGCTTACATGCACAGGCTTGTGTGGGCTTGGGATTCTCAAGGTTGTCTTGAGGACTGGCTATCTCCACCTTGTCTGTACACAGATGCAGAGTGTACAGCATGGATCATATAGAGTTTGGAATTCTGTGTACTCTCACAAAACACTCTGCAAATCATGGTTAGTGCTGCCTTGGTCATCACTGGCTAGGTCTAGTGTGTATTCTCTGATGCTCTTGTCTATGTCCAGAGCCCAAGGTGGTGTTTGCCAAGGAGCAGCAGGCAAAAAGCGAGGTGAAGGCTGAGGCAGGGGCCAGCGCCACACTGAGCTGCGAGGTGGCCCAGGCGCAGACTGAGGTGACCTGGTACAAGGACGGGAAGAAGCTGAGCTCCAGCTCGAAGGTGCGCGTGGAGGCGTCGGGCTGCACGCGGCGGCTGGTGGTGCAGCAGGCGGGCAAGGCGGATGCCGGGGAGTATAGCTGCGAGGCCGGGGGCCAGAAGGTCTCCTTCCATCTGGGTGTCACAGGTGGGTGACAGGGTTGGGTTGAATGGGGAGGAGCTCTCAGTGGTGCATATAAAATAGGCCATGTTAGGCAGCAGAGGCCACTTAGGTCCTTGGGTTTCATCATCCATGTCTTCAGCTTTGCTCAGTGGCTCTAGGCCATTGTGCCATTGTCAGGAAACCAGAGCAGGCTTATGGTCCAAGCTCACCATGGTATGCACCTTGCTGTCTCTAACGCTGAGGTCATGGGGCATTGTGTAGTGGGGTGACATGCAGGTGGTAAAAGCTCACTATGCCCTTTTAACCCAGCTCCAGATATCTGCAAGCCTTTGCTTGGGTCTGTGTTGTTCCCACTCATCCATCTCTGTATGTCTGCCTCCTCTCTGCCTGGGGAAAGGAGCTACCATAGTTCAGTCTTCTTCCCTCTTGGCCCAGGATGGGACTCTGCTCTCTGATATTCCTTTTATAGCCTTGGCCAGGAAAGATATGTGCTGCTTGTTGGTGCTGAGGATAGACATTCCTTTATCCTTTTGCCGGGGCCCCTGAATGGTGGGAAAGAGTTGGTAGGTCATTGGCGGTCTGTGGGCTATGGGAAATCTGAGGCAAGGAAGAGTCAGGATCCTGTCTGCAAAGATCAGGATGGTGGCCTTGTCAGGGGCAGGCCAGGCTTCTGTGACCACACAGGCTGCAGCAGGTCGTCTGGGCTGGGTGAGTCTGGGTGCTCGGGGGTGATGAGGGCTGAGTACCCCAGGCTTCTCCATACACAGCTATGAAACATCATAGTGGGCCACACATAGCTTAGAGCCATGTGCATTGTCATGCAGTGCTCTGCTAATCAGGACTAGCCTGATTGGGCTCAGGTGAGCTCTAGACACTGAAGAATTTGGATCTATTCTATAGTTTCTCTCTGATATCTCTGTCTCTGTTTCTTTCTTGTCTCTGTGCCAGTACTGGGGCTTGAGCTTTGGGTCTGAGAACCATCCTTGAGTTCTTTTTGTTCAAGGCTAGAGCTCTACCACTGAGCCAGTTGTACTTCTGGATTTTTTGTGGGTAATTGGAGTTAAAAATCTCATAGACTGGGGCTGGGAAGGTGGCTCAGTGTTAGAGTGCTTGCTTTGCATGCATGAGGCTCTGGGTTTGAATCCTCAGCACCACATAAGTGAAAAGAAAAAAGCCGGAAATGGTGCTGTAGCTCAAGTTGTACAGCGCTAGCCTTGAGCTGAAGAGCTGAGGGACAGCGCCCAGGCCCAGAGTCCAGGCCCCATGACCAGACCCCCCCAAAAAAATAAAAAATAAATCTCATAGACTTTTCCTATCCAAGCTGGCTTTGAATCATTATCCTCATTTCTCAGCCACCTGAGTAGCTAGGATTACTGCCTTGTTCTCTTGTCTGTGTCCAGAGCCCAAGATGGTTTTTGCTAAGGAGCAGCAGGCAAAAAGCGAGGTGAAGGCTGAGGCGGGGGCCAGTGCCACACTGAGCTGCGAGGTGGCCCAGGCGCAGACGGAGGTGACCTGGTACAAGGACGGGAAGAAGCTGAGCTCCAGCTCGAAGGTGCGCGTGGAGGCGTCAGGCTGCACTCGGAGGCTGGTGGTGCAGCAGGCGGGCAAGGCAGATGCCGGGGAGTACAGCTGCGAGGCCTGGGGCCAGAAGGTCTCCTTCCACCTGGGTGTCACAGGTCAGTGTTGGGAATCTGTTCTCTTCTTTTGTAGCCTTTTAGTCATTAGATATCATCTTTTCAGGTCATCCATCTCTCACCTCCTGTCTGTATACCAATGCTGAACCAGGGAACAGGAAACGGGAAGTACGTGGTTGAGAGGCCTGGTGCCTTACCTGTGCACCTCAGGGAGTGTTCTAGAAATGAGACCTCAGTCCTCATCAGTTGCCTGTCTCTGCCTAATTAGTCATGATGTTCCTCAGACTCAGCACTCTAGCTTTATCTTTGCCATCTGAGCTAGGTCATATATCCTCACCTGGGATCTGTTTCTTTGGTGCTTTTGGGCAACTCCCAGTGCCCTCATCTAGAATCCCACAAAGGCTGTCCAAAGTCAGAGGTCTTTTATTTTCCCTGAAACTAATAAGAGGAAGGTCCAGCTTCCCAGGGTTAAATATCAGATCATCAAAGTCATTCTTGCCTTTCATACAAAGCACTGTGTGCTCCTCACTGGGGCACAGTCTAAAACCATGTTTTGGTGGCAATGCCTGAACAATCAAGACCAAGAGTCCAGGGTAGGTAGTAGATATGATCCTGTGATACACGTCTCTGTATTTTGGAGTTCTCTTTTTAAAGCAAATCTTATTCTTTTGTCTTCAGTTAGAACATTTTGCATTAGCAAACCTCCAGGAGTTTGGGTTATACATATAGAAGTGAAAAGGACTCTAACCTCATGGCACATCATACACTGGGTTAATGATGTGTGGCAGCCTGTATTGGCAAGGTGGATTACTTCTGTAGAATTTCCCAAGTGATTCGAGTATGTATGTGACACCCAGCCAGGGCCATAAGGGGTCTGTGAGGTAACACAACCTTCCATGTGGCAGGTCATGGTTTTACATGATCCCTAAGTGCTCACTCACATGGCAGTTTGGTATTGCATCTGGACACGACAGTTCATTGATAGATGTACCAAAGAGAAGACCCACCATGTATCTTTCTGACAAAGTAGGGTATAAAGCATGATATTGTTTTATTCCTGTAAATTGAAGAAGTTTCAACAAATTTACCAATTTGTGGAAAGCTACATCAAAATGTATATAAAAGTAGTGTAATAACCAGCGTGGCCCTTGGCCAAGCCCGCTGGAGGGGCAGGCATCAAGAGGCTGAAGTTACCACTGCAAGGAGTGTGCAACCCAGGGGCCGTGCCATGCCGCCGAAGGGGTGGGGCATGCCGCAGAAAGGAGAGGGGTGCAGACTCTATGTAGGCTGCATGTTCCAAGTCCTGAGGGGCGTCCAGAGGAGATCAGGAATCCTGAAGAGAGTCTGGATGAGAGAAGAGCATGGGAAAGACTGGGAGTCCTGAGGGGAGTCCTGAGGAGAGTCCTGAGGAGAGTCCTGAGGGGAGTCCTGAGGAGTCCTGAGAGGAGTCCTGAGGAGTCCTGAGGGGAGTCCTGAGGAGAGTCCTGAGAGGAGTCCTGAGAGGAGTCCTGAGGAGAGTCCTGAGGAGAGTCCTGAGGGGAGTCCTGAGGAGAGTCCTGAGGAGAGTCCTGAGAGGAGTCCTGAGAGGAGTCCTGAGGAGAGTCCTGAGAGGAGTCCTGAGGGGAGTCCTGAGGAGAGTCCTGAGGGGAGTCCTGAGGAGAGTCCTGAGAGGAGTCCTGAGGAGAGTCCTGAGGAGAGTCCTGAGGAGAGTCCTGAGAGGAGTCCTGAGAGGAGTCCTGAGGAGAGTCCTGAGAGGAGTCCTGAGAGGAGTCCTGAGGAGAGTCCTGAGAGGAGTCCTGAGAGGAGTCCTGAGGAGAGTCCTGAGGGGTCCTGAGGGGAGTCCTGAGGAGAGTCCTGAGGAGAGTCCTGAGG